AGTACTTACCTATTAATGAGTTTGTGAAGATACCTATTATTAATGAACTAGCAAACCAGTGAACCAAATGTTCACCAAAACCTAAAAAAAAAAACATGTATTTAATTAATTGAGAACTTCGGAGATTTTGTGTGGTTTCGTTTGAAATTCATGATTTCTCGGAAACCGGAAGTGCTACGTTACTCAAATCCGGTTTGTAGTCTTATCAGACTATTCTTAACTTATAACTTAAATATTCTCTTTATCTATCTCTTACGGTTTGGCCGCTGAAACAGCACCACAGACAGACGGACGGACGGACTTGTCTAATAGATAAGAGATGAATAATATCTAACGAACTCAGTACAACTTACCCCGATTACTTAATTGCCCGGCAATGAACGGAATTTATCAAAAAGTTACGTGGTTGTAGCAGAAATATCTCTCGTAACAGGACGAAATATAGCCAACATTACACTTTATGAACTTTCAGAGATAAGAGAGGTCAGGGGCGAGATAAAGTGGTCCTTCCATGAAACGACTGTTTTGTTATTCCCGTGATGTATTTAAACAGCTGTATGCACAGTTATTGTATCTCAATGCATTTTTGTTAAATAGTTCGTTTTTTAGGGTTCCGTAGCCAAATGGCAAAACACGGAACCCTTATGGATTCTTCATGTCTGTCTGTCTGTCTGTCCGCTCGTATGTCACAATTCTTCTATTGAAACTTGGAAAGAAGACGTATTATGTGAACCGCATTGAGATTTTCACACAAAAATAGAAAAAAAAAACAATAAATTTTGGGGGTTCCCCATACTTACAACTGAAACTCAAAAAAATATTTTTTATCAAACTTATGCGTGTAGGGATAAATACCCTACACGTATAAGTATGTAAAAAAAAATGATAAAAAGTGTGATAAAAAATATACGGATCGGTCTTCAAAAATTATATTGAGGTTTCGAATATTTTTTTTTTCTAAACTGAATAGTTTGAAACTGAATTAGTGGCAAAATGTGTGTCGCCACGTTTTACTTCTAAAATGATAAAACTAAAACTAAAAATATAATTGCAAACTTCCACCGAAAATTAGTTTGAACTAAATCTAGTCAGTAGTTTTTTTAATACGTCATAAATCGTAAACCGCAATTTAACTTAACTTAAAAATAACAAAAATCATTTAATTTCATAAACATAAACCTTATGCATAAACAGCGAACCATTATTTTCTAACCCTAACAAGAACTTTTATATTACGTTACTTGATGTTCCGGAACCCTTCATGGGCTCTCTCGACTCGCACTTGGCCGCTTTTTTTTATAGTTTATGATAACAAAATGTTCACAGACATAAACTGTTCTTGTTCTTTCTGTACAAAGCCAAAAGTGTTTTTTATTCGTTTTCTCATATAAAGGAAGCTTATCTAATTGCCTACTGCACTTTACCTGATCTTAATCGTAAATATAATCTGGTTTCGGCAAAACATGTCGATTTAATATGATGACATGAGTCGCTTTTTGAACACGGGATCTTAAATAGGTAGTGAAACATTAATAAAAATCTTAAATTTTTGGAAACCCATCAAAGAAACATACTAGAGTCTGTGCGAAAAGAGAATGGGCGTGACGAAAAACGGAACTAACATTAAGATTTTTATTTGGCAATCAAACCCAGCAATTTGTAAAACGTGAAAGTTTTGTATTGATACGGATTTGTTTGTTGTTGTGATTTCTTGCGTTTTTTTTTTTGTATTTAATCATGTCTAAAAGGGGTAAAACCTTACAAATACGGTAGAAAAGCACTACAGCGCCCTCCAATCTAAATCCAATTCTCTTTCCACACAGACTCTACTACTTACGACAAAGTCAAAACGAAGATTCTATGATCTCACTCTATTTTTTTTTATCGTAGTATTTAAACTTTACAATCGCAATGGCTAGTAAGACATTAATAAATTATTTTTTTATGATTTTATTTATTTTTTAAGCATTTAACTGCTAGATGTTTAAATCTAAAGAAAAGTTTACAAGAACAAATTTTTTTTTTCTAGTAAACTTTTCTTTTAATTATTTTTTGTTATGAAACCTTTTCTTTTTACTTAAAATACGAAAGTTTTTATGCCTATACATATAAGCGTATGTACAAAGACAAGCGCAAAGGCTAGTTTTACCTCATAAAATGTATTGACGCTTTAAGGAAATTCAAAATAGATAAGTAGCCCGCCGTACCACTTACGGTGCGTCATGCGCCATGCGTCATCCGCGCGGCTTATCCTGACACCATCTCATTGTGATGACGAGGGTGCTACGCTACAGATTGCATATTGGAATACCTGATCGGAAATTGACGTTTATTTAATATTTTTATATTTTACAAAAAACAGGGAAATACCTCAATATATAATGCTGTTTTGTTTTTGACGTCGAGAAATAATAATAAAAAAAAGTTTATCCCACCAAAACATTTTCATGTAAAATGTTATTTTTTTTTTCATTAAATGCTAAAGATACACTAGCGACAGTATCATTTGACATATTTTGACAACTTTCATATAATTTTTTAGTTTAATCGTATGTCTTTATAGTCATTTACAGCATTCAAAAATATAAAACTACCACACAACACAAACACAGGTTTCCTTATTAATAAAAAAAAACGACGGGTTGCACTCCGGGAGTGTCGGCAGAAGTGAAAACTTGAATAATAAAATTGTGCATTTTTGATATTTTGGAATGGTTAAGGAATAATTTTGTACGAATTGCTTTAATTATCAGTATTAAAGTACTATCATGTATGTGGTATAATACAATATTTATTTATTGCGCTATCGTACACAAATATGTCAATTTATATTACAATAAAAAAGTTTATCTCTCAAAAAAATCAACTTACATGAATCACATTTAAGCGCACCTAGCGACATCTATTGTAAAAAAAATGCATTTTCTTCGCAATAAAGCTGCCATATGGACGTCCTAGATAGAGACTTATTATTATAATACGGTAAAATAAAATATTACTATGTTTCGTCCAATATATTGAAAGTCAACAACCTTTCCAATTTTATTGTGTGTCATGATGCGACTAGACTAGCCCACGTGTTTAAGCTGACGCGTGTTTAACATTTTTTACCCACACAAAAAAAAAGTGAACAACGCCGCTAAAGAAGTTTTCACTTCTAAAACAAATTAAATTGTTACCCTAATAATTTAAACTATATACGAAAAGACATTACTGTACATTTTTTCTTGTACCAAAATGAGATCACTACACTCGCACTGTCAAAAAGTTATCTTAACTCGTGTCGAGCCAAGCTTTTTACTCTAAACGCCCCTTGCATTTCATTTGCGCCAATCTTTTATCTATTAGACAAGTCCGTCCGTCCGTCCGTCTGTGGTGCTGTTTCAGCGGCCAAACCGTAAGAGATAGATAAAGAGAATGTTTAAGTTATAAGTTAAGAATAGTCTGATAAGACTACAAACCGGATTTGAGTAACGTAGCACTTCCGGTTTTCGAGAAATCACGAATTTCAAACGAAACCACACAAAATCTCCGAAGTTCTCAATTAATTAAATATTTTTTTTTTAAATCAAGTTTTGGTGAACATTTGGTTCATTGGTTTGCTAGTCTAAACTATTAGACCAACGGAGTTGTCATAAAGTTGTGATTACGGTTTGTTCATGTGTTTATTATAACTACACTCGTCTAATATTTCTTGACTGCAAGTAAGCGCATAATATGCCTGCATCATATTATAAAACATCAACATAAGTGGCTCTCTTCAACCGTGCGTGGCGTTTTCAATAAGCGATCGCAAGTTATTCCATTAGCTATATACATTGTTCCCTTGGAGCACGTCCAAAACTCAAACGGCATAGTTCCCGATGATATATGGCCGTGACCCTTTCTCACCGCTCTATTTGTCAACGATGTAATTCTGAATTACAAGATTAACGGTCCTTACCAGAGATGTTTAGGCCGAGATTTGTCTCAAAATTCGGTGCACCGTCGGAGAGTTGTCAGTGCCACCCTTTGGCGTTCATAAGCTGCTTGAAACAATTTCTTCCCACTCGATTTGATGTGGGTACAGACGATTGAATGCCCCTTGGACCTCGTGAAAAGTATTAGAAATATGGGACCATCGTATTATTTTCTATTTGCAAAAGATTTCATGCGTGTGATTTCGTTTTTTTTCTCTGTGTGTTTTGTGTATTAGCAATGAGTACACAACAGCTTAAGTTTTCTTTAAGCTATTTATGTATAAATGTTTTTGAAAGGAAAACTTCTTTAGGCGCGTTGGGTATCTTTGAGGTGGGAAAAACCACTGTTGTGCACACCGTGTTGAATTCTCTCTTGTATTTGTTGGGCCGAAAGGCAGCGCCATCTCTTCGCATTGTAGGTTGTAAGTAACCCACAATTTCAAATGAATACCTTTACAAGTATTAAACATTTAAAAGAAGAAATAGCAATTATATTTATAATTTATTTAAGCATTTAACTGCTAGAAGTCTACTAGAAAAAAACACACTAAAAAAAATTCCACGCGCACCATTTATTATTATTTAAATGCTTAAAAGAATAAAAATATAACTTTAATGCTGTTTATTTTTCCTACAATGCGAAGAGATGGCGCCACATTGCAGCCTATCAAATGCGTAAAAAAAATAAAACCTGACAATAAATTATCGCATATCACCACCATGTCCTTACCAGTCCCAACGTCGGGCGCCCAATGTCAAATGACATTCGGGATGTACTTTTTTATTACAACACTCACTCCAATTAGCCTAGCCCCAAAGTATGCACTGTAAGTCTTACTCATTGTTTCCGCTACACGTAATTTTGGTGACTAACCTTCCTGATGGAGATAAAGCCTGGCTCCTTCCATAAAAAATGTGGCGATGACGATACGATTACGGAGATGTATAAGTTCATACTTGGGCCTCTGACACTGTTTGCGTGAGAAAGTAAGCGTAAGTTATATGCAACATATAATTAATGAACATGTCTTTTCTTTACAGGTAGCATCGCGAAGAAAATTATTATGTTATAGTGTTGTTTTAAAGTGAACATAATGCATATGGAAATGACATATCAGTGTAAGCGTCCGTCCTCGACGGCGTTTGGTGTGATAATGGTTGCGGTGGTGTGTGTTACGTCACAAGTTAACTCGTTGGAGGGGAGGGAGGAGCCACACAAGTACACTGTGGACGAGTTGCTGTCGACCAGCTTCCAGTCCAAGGACTCGGACGACCTCGGAATGGACCCTTGTAAAGCTGGTAAGTTTTATACGAATTCTTGCCTGATGATGCTATGTTGGAAGCTAAGTTTTGCACTATACTTCTCGTGATAAAAATTGTTTCTTACAACGTATTAAGTTTCTAATCACGTAAGAAGAACTGAGGGGAGAGGGTCGAGTAGGATGTACGTTGGTTTTCAAGGTGTCGCCAACTCAGAAGACCCAGAGATTCACCCGGAGATGAATACGATTGATGATGCATTTCTACCTAAGTCATGGATATTTATATCAAAACGGCAAAATCGTTATATATGTATCAATTTAATCAGATTTTTTTAAGGCATCGATCTGTTTTGGGCGGACTATTCGGAAACGGATACCGCCACATCACTCGCACTCCCGGTGCGCACTAGGAGGGACCGCGGTCCCTCATAATGCGCGCCGGGTGACCGGTGCAGGAGTATTGTCTAGTTTTTACGGTCGCCCTTGTGGCGGTCGCCTTCTTGGCGAGAGGTAGGGCCCCGCTTGCTTCTCGGAGCACTTGTGTTCCCTGAAGCGGCGGAGAGGAGTCCCCGATAGCTTCGTCCGCAACCCTCGGTTGGCGAAGTATGCGTAATGCATTTTCTATACATTAAAAAAAAAAAGGCATCGATTTGTTTATGTTTCGTGAAGATACTTGTACTTTTTGGCGCTTGAGCAACTAAATTTTTCGTACATTTTTATTGTTCACAATGCTAATGCGACATAAATTTTGAACCAATGGTGCCTACGCCCTGCTATTTGGCCTATGATTTGATATTTGCTCAACAATAAATGTATGGCGGGCCTAGTGATTTTCGCTTCTAATTCGAAAAGTATAGGCACTAAGTAAGTTTTAAATAAGAAGATCTTAGAAAATTTTATTTTATGAATAATTTTTATGGCGCTACTTCTTATTTACGAGTTATGTATTTTTTGTGAAAAAAGAAAAACTTTGATCCACGTTTGTATAAAGTAACTAAAGTGCTTTTACACTATCAGTTATGTTTTCTAAACAAAATATAGTACTTATATGGGTATGTATTCTATCCGTTACCCTAGTATCCCATAACACAAACCTTACAGTGCTTACTTTAGGACTAGACTTATATATACACGGTGTGTATTTAAAAAAATAATGTAGTACACTTAATGCTGTCGCGTATTTTTTTTATATCTTATCGAATTCAAGTGCACTTTCTCTCGGTGAACTTGACTTCAAAACGTAATCTTAACAAAGAAAGATATACTTGCAAAGATTATTATTTCATCATCATCATCAGCCTATTAATGTCCCCACTGCTGGGGTACAAGCCTACCCTATGGATGGAGTAGGGAGATTAAGCCATGACCCACCACTTGGACCTAGTGCGGATTGGCGGGTGCTAACGACTGCAGATGCTGCCGGAACCAACAGCTTAACGTGCTTAAGATTTTCGTTTACCCATCCAATGACCGACCACTGCGGAAGTTGCTTAACTTCAACGATCGCAGCCGAACGCGCTAACCACCCGCGCTATTGAGCACTTAATATAAGGGGGTTAAAAATAAAATACAAGCATATCTCTTATCAATGTTCCAAATACAACTTTATGAACAATTGTTTTTGACGTGACAACGTCTTAAATTAGGTTGCGGCTGGGAGTCACTTATGAAAAAGTGTAACGCTCGGTAACGTTACGATGAGTCTCTCGTGTTAAGTTTAAGTTTACATGTACAATGTTTTAGTAAACAAAATATATTTCTATAGTTAAAATTTGTGCAATTCTTATTTTCATTCAATTCCTTGTTCCTATTGTGCAATTTAATTATATTCATATCAATAAATATTCTACCGAGAAAAAGACGTTGTCACGTAAAATCTTCGCCCGTAAAACCGACTTTACAGGCAACCATTTTTTTTTTTTAACGACAGCTAAAGGAATGGTCGTTTAAAAATACGAACAATGCCGAGCGTTTAATCGCACCTCCAGAACCGCCCTTAAAAAGTGCTAAAACAGAAATCAACTGCGGCTATAAAATGCCGCACCGTAAAGTTGAACGTCCCCTGAATAGGGATGACGACAAACATATTTTTCCTTCGTCTGTCAGGTAGATTATCAACAGATATTTATTCATTCATTTATTTTGGTTACATGGAAGACTAATAGCTTATCTTAATATACTAGAAATGAATAGTAGCGACAAAGAGCCAATAGGGGTGATGACGGGGTACAGTAAACGAAATTCTATTTAGTCCGTCAGTTAGATGATCAGAAAATAATGGACACGTATTTTTTCTTTGGGCAATCAACCAAAAAATGACAAAGTTATAGCGCGTCAGTTTGGGAGTAGGGGCTCGTGACGTCACTTTTGAGTCAATTTTCACTTATAAGTGTACTCAAACGTGACGTCACGCGACTTTTCAAATCAATATATCTCTGCAATGTTTATATTATGTGAAAAAAGAAAAAAAACGTGTCCAATACTTTATGATAATCTACCTGATAAACGAAGAAAAAAAAATTAGTCATCATCCCTATTACAGGTCCTCACATCTAGACATAACTTAAAGTTATAAACTACTAGCAAACCCAGCGAACTCCGTTTCGCCACCAGATAGCTTCGTTTTATGTAACATTTCGTTTTGTGATTAAAAGAAAACGATTTTTTTTAAAATTTTTCCTGAATTTTCTTTGCTATAAACCTTACGGAGCCCGAGACCTTTCCAACGAATGCAAAACCGTGGAAATCGGTTCGTGCGTTCTGGAGTTATAGCGTCAGGAAGGAAAACCCGACTTATTTTTATATAGTAGATTTGCACTGTCCATTGTAAAAAATCTCATAAATATAGTTTTATAAATGAGGTATTTATGATAAATAACAGAATAACAAATTACGCACATGTTAAATACATAACATATTGGCTACGTATTGTTTCTTTTCTTTGCATAATCAAAATATTACAGATCTTAATATATATAAATCTCGTGTCACAATGTTTGTCCTCAATGGACTCCTAAACCACTGAACCGATTATAATAAAATTCGCACACCATGTGCAGTTCGATCCAACTTGAGAGATAGGATAGTTTAAATCTCAAATTATAGTCGCAATTTTAATTTATTGCAAATTATTACTTTTGGGCGGTACGAAGTTCGCCGAGTCAGCTAGTACAAATATAGATTTGTAATGACACATGGCGTTACGTCTTGGTACAATTTTTACTTAAAAGTTACGTGATCTTTTAATTTATTGGTTGATTGACTGAAAAAAAACAAGTGTAAGAAGTTTCAGCGGTATAGATCATCATCATCATCATCAGCATCTTTATGTCCCCACTGCTGGGGCACAGGCCTTCCCTATGGATGGAATAGGGAGATTGGGCCATGACCCACCACGCGGGCCCAGTGCGGATTGGCGGGTTCTAACGATTGCAGATGCAACCGGGACCAACGGCTTAACGTGCCTTCCGAAGCACGGAGGAACTCGAGATAGAAATTTTTGGTCACCCATCCAATGACCGACCACTGCGAAAGTTGCTTAACTACAACGATCGCAGCCGAACGCACTAACCACCTGCGCCATCGAGCTCCTCGATTTATTTATTAATTGACGTTTCGCATCCTTTTCAGGCTGCGCCGTCGGAATTATGATTTTATTTACTTTTTTTTTCCTTTCTAAATGGTTTCGCACGGCTTGTGCATTTAGCCAATGTCAAGTGTTAAATGTAGGTATACAAATACTATAGCACTCCAGGTCAAAGTAATAAATCAAGTCAAAGTAAGTGGCAGTCAAGTCAATCCCCTTTTCCCCATGTTTCAGTAAAAGTGTAGGGGTTTACTGGAACCTCCCCGTGGACTTCTTGAGGAAACGTCGAAAGACACTTTCCGCTATTTTGTTTCACTTGCCAACACTTGTGCATGTTCCCGAACACTAAGTGGTTAATAATCCACCATTATTAGACACTGACATCCGCCACAACACAATTTTTAACAAGAAAAACAAAACTGCTAAAGTGACGCTTCCCGATCCCGCCAAAAAGTCCATTTTATTTAATTTGCTGGGCTACCTTCGAAATAATTTTCGAAGAAAAAAGTCTTTCGAAGGTAGCCTTTAGTATACTTTTTTCTTCGAAAATTATTTCGAAGGTTTTGTTTTGTTTACCGACTAGGGTTTACGTTGAAAGTTGTTTTATTTAATGAGTGGTGTGGTGGTGTGTGTGAAAACCTAAGAAACAAATGTAATAGCGTATAAATAAGTATCTATTATAGTTATGATTTTATTTATTTTTTAAGCATTTAACTGCTAGATGTTTAAATCTTAAGAAAAGTTTACTAGAAAAAAATCCACGCGGACCAGGCAGTGGACGGGACTCGAACCCGCATCCTTCGCTATCCGGGCGAATGCACTGACCATTATGCTACCACGGCCCTATTAGCCGCGTCGAAATTTTCCTAGCCTTAAGCAACTTGTGGGTTACCTACAATGCGAAGAGATGGCGCTGCCTTGCAGCTTAAGGCTAGGAAAATTTCGACGCGGCTAATAGGGCCGTGGTAGCATAATGGTCAATGCATTCGCCCGGATAGCGAAGGATGCGGGTTCGAGTCCCGTCCACTGCCTGGTCCGCGTGGATTTTTTTCTAGTAAACATTTCTTTAGTATCTATTATTATTTGATACTCTAACCAACGGATTATATTAGAATATTATTTACTTTACCCCTTCGTCATCCCTGTTCTGAAGCCGGGTTGGACGCTCACGTAACATTCATTACGTTCAAGACGATTCTTATTTCGCTAATGAATATAATAAGGTGAGATTGAAATAAACGCTGAACTTATTTAGTTGAAAAATAAGTTTCCTCTTTTTTTAATGGAATGATTTTAATATTATAATGTAAAGGAATATTATAATATTGATTTGTAACAATGTCTACTGCATGCCCGATTAGGGTAACTGTTTGTTTCAATTGTGTGCACTAACATCTGGGCAGTATCACTAAATGTATCAGTTTCACAATAAAGAATTATTCTATTCTGTT